GGAAGACTCTCTCTCTCTCTCTCTCTCTCTCTCTCTCTGTCTCTCTATAATGCTACCTTTCAAATAAATAAATCTTAAAAAAAAAAGATTCCACTCAAACAGCATATCTTCAGCAGAACTATCCCATTCTCCATCTTGGTAAATTTAGTTACTTCCTCTTCTGCGTTCACACACTTTGTGGTATCTCTACATCTATGCTACTGAACTTATCACACTATGTCATATTGTTTATGTCTCCCCTACTTGTCTATGAGCTTCTAGAAGGATGAAGATATCATGCTTGTCTATAGATTCCTAGAACATTAGCACATTGCTTGGCACAAATGAGTGTTAAAAATCCTATAAATATGTACTACATTACAACTTTCAGGAAAGAGCTTCTCCAGTTAGCTCTGTGCTTCAGGGAAGGCAAATCTGGCAACAGGGTGAAGAATGGATTAGAGGGCAGGGGGCTTTTAGAAAGGAAGACCAGCTAGTGAGTTCCAGTACTAATCATGACTTGCATGCAGTAATGCAAGGCTGATTTAGCAAACTAGCTGCGGTAATGGAAAGGAGGAAACTGTTGGGTGAAAACACCACAGAAGCAGAGGTGATTGGATTCTCAGAGTGAGAGAGAGAGGAATTGAAGATCATTCTGAGGTTTTGAGTCTGGGTGACTGAGAGGGTGATGATACTATTAACTGAGATAGGGAAGACAGGAAGAGAAGCAGATTTCGGGGAAAGCGGGGAGTTTGAAGCTAATGCGGTTGTTTCTCCATTCCTAGAATCTTCTTCTAAGTCTGACCTCCTCACTGGTCTGTCTCAGCAGGGACTCAGCTCAGGCAGCAGCTAAGGATGGGTGTTCTGATTTAGATTAGGTCAGAGGAAGGCCAGCCCACTGGGGCCAAGACAATATTTTCCATCCTCCCAAGACAGTAGACCTTTGACAGAGAGTTAGGAGTGACTGAGCCGAGCAAGGAGCAGAGCAGAGCATAGCATGGGGAGGGGGAAGAAGAGCTTAGACCCCTCCACTATATAATGTTACGGCTTAGAGGAGAAAGTGGGTGGGAATGGTGGTGGTGGTGAGCAGATCCTTCCCAGGATCTAGGTGGTCTGAGGATTCTTGAGTCTGTGACACTATGGTATCCCTAGCCTTGATCTCTATTTACTACACCCTTACAGCAATACCTCACCTCCCAGAGGTTTCAGCCTATGTCACAGTCTTTACCACACCCTCTGTAAAGCGCTGATTTCAAGGTTCTTTCCACCGGAAGCTATGAGAAAAGGAAATGTGTTGGTGGGGAGGGGCTCAGGTTTCTGACACAGACTGCACCCAGGGGACGAAGAGAAAGCGAAGAGGAAGCGCCATGTTGAAGCC